GGCTTTGCCTGCTTGACACATAGATTTGGTATAGGAAAAACACGGGCGTCCCAGTCCAGTGGGATGTATGTGTATGAAAGAATTTCAGATCTGAAAAAACAGTGTAGTTATCCTGGCAAATCATTTATGAAGTTTCTTTCTTCCCCTATTCCCACTGAGATACCAGTCTTTTATTAGACTGCCTGACTTTCAAACAGGCATAAGTCATATCAACCTCTGTAAATGCTCTCTGATAACTTCTGCTGTGTCTGTTAAGTATAATCATACTCTTCTGTAGTCATCTATGTTTCTTAACCAAGTTGTGCTTTGATCAAAGGTATTTCTTCCAGTTTGGATTTCCACCTATTTTAGCAGCTGGATGCACGTGCAGCTGTGATCTCCCTAAGAGCTCTTCACTGTGTCATGACGAAGCTACTGCGTTAAGCTTATTTTTTTGTTGTTGTTTGTTTTTTTTGTTTCTTTTTTTTTATTTGCCAACTACACTTGGGAAGAATTTTTTAATTGCCTTCTTACAGGGATGATATTACCATTTGGCAACCCCATCCCTACCATTACAGATTATCATATCTAAATCTATCTTCTACTACAACAGCTACTACTACTGCCTATTTTTTGCTTCCTGAGCAAAATGGCAAAAAACAACTTTCAAAACATATATTTATATTCTTGGGTAACTTTTTAAAAAATGTGGGATGAATTGAATCAACAATGATTTAGTAGTTTTTGAGCTGATCCAGAAAATAAATAGACAAAATGATTATAAAACTTTTTTTTTTCTTAAAAAAAATATATATATATTTATATATATATATATTATTTTCAGAAAATTAATAAGCCAGAATTCAAATATCCTGCCTGCATTAACAGCAAATATTGGACTGTTTCTTCTGTTAGACTGACAATATTTTAATTAAGAACAATGACCCTTTTATTTCTTTTGCTGGTTTTGAATCTTCTTATGTGACATTTAGAAAAGAACCGTTAGCCATTAAGAAAAACTTGTGCTTGCGTAGAGGGTTATTTGCAAGTCGTAATCAAGTTCTAAATGGGTTTTATAAACATTAGTTAGGTAGGTTGCTACCGTAACCTTAGGAATTATTCCAATAATCTCATCCTCTGGATTTAGATTATTTGCTCATTATCCTCACCACATCTTTTGCTATTTTTTTTTTTTTTTTTTTGCTTTCATAGTTTATCTCTGTTAGACATTATGGTTTTTCAAAAGACTAAAGTGAAGTTTGAAAATGTAAAATGTCTCTGCTTCGTTCATTAATTATTTTTAGGTGTGAGGTATCTGTTTCTGTAGTACATGGTGGCCCCAAAATATCAATAGTGTGAAGCTTGACTGTGATCTTTTTATGTTCTAATACTGAAGATCAAAAAGCATAGGAGTAGCTGAAGATTAAAATTAAAAATTGCTAAATATTCAGTCGTGACTTGACTAAATAGTTCATAATGCTGTGATAATTTCCTTTGCATTGTTTATGATACTCATTCAGTGTACTATAAGAATTGATTTAATTTCTTTGTAGGTACTGGATAATGCACCCCATATGACTTTTGATTTGAATTAGAACTCTCATTAATTATGATACCACTGGAATTATTTTTTGTTTCTTTTAGTGTGTGTCTCTGAGTTTCTTATGATATACACACATGTGCACTACGCAGTTTACCAGTTTCAGATGCTAAGACTGAAACCTTTGTCTAATGAAACAATTCTTTATTTTTGTTTAGTTCAGATCCTTAAGCATTTTCAGAAATCCAGGTAAACATTGAACCCATGGTTCTTTTGTCATCTTGAAATAGTCACTGATCATTTCATATTTACTATACCTGAATAATAGAATAGCATTAAGTTTAGTACTGCAATCAGTTTTCTTAAATATTCCATAAAACCATAAACCATAAAATATCCTGAGTTGGAAGGGACCCATAAGGATCATCAAGTCCAACTCCTGGCACCACAAAGGTCTACCCAAAAATTCAGACCATATGACTGAGCACAGTACAAACACCTCTTAAACTCCGACAGGCTTGGTGCCATGACTACATCCCTTGGTAGGCTGTTCCAGTGTACAACAACCCTCAGTGAAGAGCCTCTTCCTGATACCCAGCCTGAACCTCCTCTGTCACAGCTTGACACCATTCCCTTGGGTCCTATCACTGGTGACTAGAGAATAGATTAACACCTACCCCTCCACTCCCCCTCGTGAGAAAGTTGTAGACCTCAATGAGGTCTCCCCTCAGCCTCCTCTTTTCCAGGAGGAACAGGCCAAGTGACCTCAGCCACTCCTCATACATCTTCCCCTCCAGGCCCTTCACCATCTTAGTAGCAGCCCTATTAGCCCTACCTTATTAGGCTTTCGTCTAATAATGATACCTCTTCAATAAAATCTGTCAGTCAGCCTGTTTAAAATGTGTACTTTCATAATCTATTTTGAGAATTCAATAGGATGAAATAGTTGTCAAAAGTGTGTCTGTTATATGTATTTATTTGAATGCATGTATACGTATTATTAAAGTGTGTGCATGTGTGTGTATATATATATATATATATATGAAGTATATATGTACTTTATCAATCAGAACTCTAGGCTAAAACTTGTCAAATTTATTAGGTGTGACCAGTTTTTGAAAGATATTCTGTCATACTGTGTGGTTTTGCAAGGCTCTTAGAGTTTGTGTTTTAAAAATATTGTAATTTACTTGCTCGTCCAGTGTTCTGGAATTTCTGCATCTAATAATTTTTCAGTTACTGTGATAAAATCATGATACTGAATGTAAATATTCATCAAACTTTTTTTGTGTCTCTGTCTGAGTACCTTGAACATTCCCAAGTGCTGATTCCCACACCAAGTAGCACTTTTTTTCTCAATAATTTAAAAATCAGCTGATGATTACCTGAGCATACAATACATAGTGAGAATGTTGCTGGTAATTGTAACATAGCCAGACTAATAACCCTAAAAAATAAAACAAAAATTGCAATAATATATTTCTAGTCATAGCATATGGCATATTCTTTGGGACTGTCTGTTTAACATTTAGGTATGTATTTATAGTTCTTAGAAAAAATGAAACCTTGATCCTTGGTGGTAGTTGGGATGAACTGATGTTACATGAGTTTGGACTGACAAAATAGGAAATATATTGACTTGCCTGAAGTTTGATGACAGCTTATTGGGTGTAGTTTTATGTTGAACAGTTCTGTAAGTAAAATATTTATTTATTTATTTATTTATTAATTGATTGGAAAAAATATTCAACAGATTTTACAACAACAAAAAAAAACTTCTTGTATATGATCTCAAAAGAAGAAAAAGTTATTTCAATAGAGCACATGGACTGTATATGAATTAACCTTTATAGATTTGTTCTTGTATAAAGTATCTTAGAAGAAGTTAATGGTTTTCATAAGAGTGGTCAGCTTCAGTTCGGGGAATTAAATTAGGGATTTAGCAGGGTGTTATTAATGTCGTTGAAACGTTCTGTTTTAGGGGCAGTCCGAGTTCTTGCATTCTCACAATTTGGAGGTTGATTTTTTTATTTGGCTAATTTTAATGGTGTTAATCACTTTGTAAGCTACAGATAAAGTTGGGTGACAAGACAAGAAATGAAATGGTGTAAAAAACAGGATGAATACTGACATGATAAAGGGTAACATAAGATTTTGAAGTCTGGTAATATTTTGACTTGGGAGGAATTCCCTTTTACTAGTTTATTTAAAACCACCTTTGTAAACTTGGTTTTCCTTGTTTGACTTACTGATGTGTATTAGTGTTATTATATGGATGTGTATTCATGAGTTCTGGTTGTAAATATTCACAGGAAGTTAATTTTTGCAGTTTGTCTCATTCATCAACAAGTGCATGGGAAAATCTCTAGCATTTGAGATGGTTACCTAAACAACTTTTAGCTTTATATTTTAAATTTTTAAATTTATACACACACACACACACAAATATACACACACACACACACACACATATATACACACACACACACGTATATTTATCAACAGTTGTTTGATCCTACAAAGGGATTTAATCTGGTTCTTATTTCTTATTGAATCAACTGAGTTTTGCCCAGGCTGTTCTATGATCTTTTAGTAAAATGAAAGGCAGTCTTTAAATGTAAAACTGATCGTTTTATCTGATTTTGTTTGTGCACATAAGCTTATAAACCCAATGAGAGATTTTTTGTTGTTGTTGTTGATTTGTTTGTTGTTGTTTTTTTTCCCCATCCCCATGTGCATAAAGACTATTACATCAATTCTGTTATGGGCATATGTTTAATTTAATTTTAAATTTATGGAGAAAAACTAATACCTCCCAGTCTAAAGGCAATGTGATATCTGAATATGAATATAAATACCTGTAAAAGAAATTTAAGAATGTAAAAAAAAGTCTAAAAATGTAAAATGGTTTCTTCTGAAGTGCTTTAAGCATTTTTGCTCTAAACATTTAATGGTAACCTCTCTAAGGACTTTGTAAACAGTTTCTGCTTGTTCATTTGCTAGAAGAACTTAAAATAGTTCAGTATGAAAACAGAAGTTATGGCCAAAATCAAAGCTTAGAAGAGTTTTTTTTTTTTTTTTTTTTTTTGTTTTGTTTCTGTAAAATATGGTACATATAAGTGCATGTCTTTGTATAAAATACAAGTGTACATATAATGGCATAAATTATTAATTTAATTTACCGAGTACAATAAAAGAGTGATAACTTCATTTTTGACATACATTTCTAGAAACAACAGATTTTTTTCTATTTGTATGAAATTGTTCCATTACTTATTTCTCCAAAACTTTTATTTTTGTTGTTGTTTGTTTGTTTGTTTTCTGAATGACCTCACAAACATTTTTTCCTGAATATATGCATCCCTTCTCTGATTATAGAAATTGACTTATTTATATTCTCAGATAATCTTTACATGATAAAATCTATAAGATATAGGCCTCTCAGTTTTTCGTTACTCACACTTACATCTTTCTTTTTCAGATGACACGAGAGCAGTATATTTTAGCAACACAACAGAACAGCCTTCCCAGGACTGAAAATCCTCAGTTTTACCCAGTAGGGATTTATGGATGGCGAAAGAGGTGCTTATACTTCTTTGTGCTTCTCCTGTTGGTTACCATGATTGTTAACTTAGCAATGACAATATGGATTTTGAAGGTTATGAATTTCACAGTGGTAAGTATCTCAGCGACTTTATCCTATTTCTTATACTAATAACTTATAGTTTCGGTTCTCTTTCCTTTAGCATATTATATACAAATTCTATAACTTTGGATTAGAAATGGCATATACTTGTTTGAGTGTTGCTTCATATATTTATACTCTTTGTATATATTCTGATGTGAGTGGCCTCTGCCCTGTTTTTGTTAATATCTGATGAAAATATACCTGTATCTTAGATTTATTTGTTTGCCCAACTGAAAGCATAACGGTGACTGCCCCAAGTGTCTCTTGGTTGCTTTTCTGCACTGATAGCAAACAGTAGGAGTATGCTATGCCTGTTTTGTATGGTATGTTTCCTTTAATGGAGAAAACCAGGTTAGTTGGGTTCAATTTGGGATGGCTTTTTTAGTATCTGTTGTTACTATTTCTCTAAAGTTTACTGGTCTCGATGGCCAGTAAAACTCTGTGTTTCACTTAGAACAAACAGTGCCTGCTTTGATGCTGATACGATCAGGTAGGTGGGTATAAAAACCACAGAAATTTATGAGACAGCCTCCATCTAGAAACTTTAATAGCAGCAAAGTGTTACTAAGTGTATTCCCAATGTACATGTGCCTGAAAGAATGTCTGTGTTCAGTAAATGTTGTATTATCTACCCAGCTGTTCCCAAAGCTTTGCATGTATAAAGGTGATTGGCGTGCTCACTAGTTGCTGTGGTGTATCTCTTTGTATATTAAAAGTCAGAACACTCCTCAGAATAAAATAAGTGGTTCTGCTCCAGTGTAATAGCAGTGTAGTCTAACTGGGTTTTGATGTATTTAATAGGGTATTTCTAATTAATAGGGTCATGGCACATTTCAATTCTCCATTAGTTTCTTGGAAATAAAAAGCAGACAATAAAAGCAGCCTTAAACACATATGAAACTATTCTATACTTTCCAATGCTCTCTAATACATAGTGTTACCTGAGATCATTGTCTGTTGAGACGTACTGTAGAAATACATTGCAACTTTTGAGTTGCCAGCAGTGCATAAATGTGGTATGTTTGTATTTTGACAACTATATGACAATTTCATGTATCAAAGAGCTTGACATAAGTTGTTTTTTTATTATTATTATTAATATTTTTAATTGTAATGTGCTTTCAAAATAGGACACACTTTTGATACTCCTATTAGAAGCATATTTAGGATATCATATCTGTTGACTTGAGAAAAATGATCTGATATTTATCCAGAAGGGAATTAACCATGGAAAATTAAAAATACTTAATTAATTTAAAGGTGTTTAAATAGCACAGCACTTTCTCTGGGCAAAAGATTACATTCCAATAAAATATTTGAATCTACTGCTAAGAAATTTTATTTGTGTATCTCAGCAGTGGTAAGAAATCAGAAGTGCAGCTTGAAATCTTTTGAAAGGGAAAAATACATTTGTCAAACTGTTTAAAGAGTACAAAGGAGGAATCTAGCCATGATAAAAATAATTGTTGAAATTGAACTGCTTGGCATTTTGATATTATTTTAAATTCTTTGCCACTTTTGCACCAGCCAATACTGAGTTCTTTATGAAAATAACAGTAATTGTATGAAGGGGTCATGAAAAGCCAGGTCATGGGTTTTGTCATTGCTGGCTGACAGTTGCAATGATGTTAATGTGTGAGCTGTTGAATTTCTATTTTTAACTGTACAGCTGTAGCCACTGGCCAATTGGCACAATAAAAGCCTTTCTGAGCTCAGTTCATAGATTCTCCAGTAGGAAAGTTTTCTGAATATACTGACCTTGCTTGTAAAGGTCGTATTCTGAATCTGAACTCATTATCTCACATTCTTTTTATGCACAAAGAGAAATATGGTCTCCCATAGGCCACTGATTTCATAGTAAGACAGTCAACTAAAGTGAAATTGTCCTTAAGATATGCATGCTGAAAAGCCAATCAAATAAGCAAATTAAAAAAGAAAAATGGTTTATTTGCAATTAGGTAAAAACATAGTACAGGCAGGTTTGTGCAAGTCTCTTTTTCTGAGATTAGCTGGTGTAACTGGAAATGGTAGATAAACTTTCAAGCATAGAGTCTCTTCTTCCAATGTACAATGGAAGAAAGAAACTTGCAGGATACGTACAAGTTAAGAGTAATTTCCCCAGTTTAATATGTATCAGTTAAACAAGCAAAACCAAAAGTAATTAGTATCAGTGTAGCAGAGGGAATATTACATGTAGGAATCAGAGATAAAGTAATCATTTTTTGAAACATATTCCCCAGCTGATAGCTTAGTGGTGATGTCCCTTAATGTCTGGTTGAGATCTGTACCCTCACTGTTCAGTCATCTATTTAAAAAGATGCAATGTGAGAACTTCAATACAGAGAAGTCCCCAAACAATTCCACTGATAGATATATCTATCTGTAACATACCATCCTATCCTGGGTTTATGTGGAAAGTAATTATTCAGTAGTAGGTTATATTAGAGAAAGGTCTGACCTTGAACAAAATGTTCTGCAAATAACTTAGCTGTGAAACAATCCTCAGGCTAAACTCATCATTGGAATAAAGCTCTTTCTTCTGTAATGTGCATCAAGTGGATCTACTCTGTAGTGAGTGGTAAATTTTCAACCACTATGATATATCCTTCACTAGTGGAGCCATCAAAATCTCCAAATTACGTGCTTGAACTTTGGACTTCATCTATTGTATTAAATTATTTCCTGAAAAATAAACAACTGCCATCCTCAAGAATGAGCTCAACTTTCCTCACAGCTCTTAAGTCTAATCTTCAAAGGAGACCTGATTCTTAGAAGAATCAAGACAGAAGCTAAAATTCATAGCTTTTCTGAGAATCAAAATCACAGACTCTAGAGATAAGAGTTTTATGGAAAATTTATTATTTCCTTTCCTTGTACTAACATTGCCATGGTCCATAGGCTCCCCATGGAAATGTCTGTCTTTCACCTTCCCTCAGATTATAGTATCCTACCTCTCACTTAGTAGAGGCCGTGTGTGTGTGTATATATATGTACATATATATAAAAATAAGATCAGACCAGTTAGTCCATTTAGCGTGTTTGTTTGTTTGTTTTAATCAATGCAATTAGTATATGAGGTGTTTCAAGAAAGATGGGCCATTCAAGTAATTATTTGGTGACAAAACCCCAGGGTAAATTATGGATATTAGGAGACATTTATTCTCAGAAAGAGTAGTCAGGCATTGAAACAGGTTGACCAGAGAAGTGGTGGAGTCACCATCCCTGGCAGTGTTCAAGGAAAGGTTGGATGTGGTGCTTAGGGATGTGGTTTAGTGGGTGACATTGGCGGTGGTTGGACTAGATGATCTTAGAGGTCTTTTCCAACCATAATGATTCTGTGATTCTAATATGAATTAGCATCCTAAACAAAATATTTTTTACTGTACCGTCATTCTTGTCATATTGTATGGTCCATAGCATAGGTAATTAGCTAATTTTTCTTAAAATATTTAATCACTTGAACATACTGTCTGATAACATTTTTTATTTTATAGAGTCTTCAAATTACTTCAACCTCAATAGAACTATAATGTTATATTATTTACTCTTTATATAGCTGCCAGTGAAAAATGTATATTGACATTCTGTCAATCTTTTTATATAAAGGAGATTTTTTTCACATTTTTGTCACTAAATACCACTGTACAAACAAGTGACTGAAAATTTTCAGTAAATATTTCAAATTACAGTTTAAAAGAGAAAATTCAAAGTAGTCCTCTTACTGCTGTGAAGTAGCATTGTGAAGTAATATTGTGACATGGGGCAATCAGTATAGGAACTCGAGATCTTTTGGTGGGGAGTCATTTAATATGAGTGCATTTATACATTTTCTAGTATTCATGCAATTGGCATTGACATGGGTGTTTACTTGATACTGTGTTATTCCATTACATGTTACATTACATGGATGTTAGGGTTTATTAAATTTGAAAAAACTGTAATAGTAGTAATCTGTGTTGGGTTGGCCTGTGACTCAGCTACATATGCTAGGAAATACTAGCACCAAATTGTTTACTGGTTTTGGTTGTACAACTGTTTGTTTTTGTGTCTCTGTATTTTGCTTTCCTGCTAGAAATAGATGTATGAAAATATTGTTATTTGTTACCCATCTAAGGATGGAATCACACAGTTCAGGTATTTTTACTGCTGTAGTTATAGCAATGTTGTAGTCAATTTTGTCTAATGTCATGGCACACTATTTTCTGTGTTGTTACATGTTAAACTCCTCTTGCCAATAGTACTGACTTCTTTTTACAATAAGGAATGAGACAACTCATCATTTGGGTTGGGAATGAGACGACTCATCATTTGGGTTCAACATAAGTTATTTCTCACGGAAACTTGAACTTAAATTTAGCTGCAAACATAAACAGCTATTTGAATTTCCTGGCTGGAATTCATGTGCTTCATGCTCCTGGTTGATCATACTCTGCTTGTTGGCTGCCTAGCTCCAGACCTGTGTATTTGCACAGCAGCTAGTTTGCAAGGTGGTTGAGTGCATGCACTAAGGTGCACACGCCAACATGACAAACTCTTTTTGTGTGGCAGCATATATAATAATAGTTGCATATATAAATATGCAACAATTAATTTGTCTCTGTTTGCATTTTTATAGGTTGTCCCGATATTCTTCTAGGAATTCGACTTTTAGAGTCTTCTGGTGATACAAAAATCTAAATCTGAAAATTGTATAAATTTATTTCTCTAGACTAATGAACACAAGTTCGTTTTCTTGTTTTTTTCGGTTGCTGTGGAAGAGCAAGTTTTTAACTGCTTATGCTGATGGGGCACATACCCATGAACAATTTGCCCATGGCAGCTTAGCACACTTGTCTAGAATGAAGAAGCAGCTCTTTTCCATTTCTTAGCTAATTTTCACTGAGGTGTCACATTTGCATCAGATTGGCATTTAAAATTTATGAAGTTGTTTAATAGCTGTACTTATCTCAAAAATAATTTGATTGTTTGGCAAACAGACAACTTTCATT